ATCATGGAAAAATACAAGCTCTAAAGCAGTAAGAGATTCACTATTTGCAGTGTTAGTGGTACTAAAATAACTAAAAGACAGATCAAGATAAAACAAAGCACAAAAAATAAGAATTTTTAAATAACATGGCTATTTTCTGAATATACACACTTCAGATTTCCAGCGTTTCAGCAAACAGTAATAATTTAGTAAACTTGCTAGTAACTACCTTAAAAAAAAAATGGAGATACATATCTAAGTTAAATTAATATAAATCAGCCCCTAGATGTCATTGTTGCAGCTGAAATATCACTTAATACAGAACTTTCCTAATTCTCTAGTAGAAGAGGCTGTGTAAAGCAAAATAAACTACCTTAAGTAATACAAATTTCGCTCAGTTTTAACACCTCAATACCAAACCACAAAGACCTCTCAGGCTATAACAAAAAAAGATAACTAACCAACTATACAACAGGGCTGTATACAAGATTCAGGTTCGGACAATCACTTCAAAGGCCACTGAAATCCAAACCTCATCACAGAAAAGACCATATACCACTTGCACAAGGGAAGGCTCTTTGTAACTCCTATCAGCGTTTGCCTCAATACTAGAACCACTGACATTTCATACAGCTAACATATCTCTAATTCTATCTGGAACAGCTCTACATGTTATATACATATATATACACAAGAATTACATTATTGTTTTTGAAAATCTCACAAAAATTTGTTTTCTACAAGATATTGTAGCAATGAGTTCCAGAGGTTAAATACAAACATATAAGAAAAAAAACTAAAATTTCTTGTAAATGCTTTGAAAGTGCGACCATTCAACTTCACTGAATATCTGATTAGTCTAACTGTAGGGGAAGCATATTCAAACACAATTCATTTTCTTTATACTATTTATTATCTTTCTGTATCTATCATGTTCTATCGTACTGGTTCTGTAAATGAAGCAATGCTGTGTTCATTCTTCCCTGCATAATTTTTCAGTACTTCTAATAATTCTTAAGTCATCTGCAATATTTTCTCGCAAAATATAACTTAGTCCTATTTAATAAACAAGTAACACAGTAGCATTTTTTCCTATATAGTGTTCTTCCCAGTCTTCTCTTACTTTCTGTATTTTCATAGACTACACACCATATTTACAAACTTCTATATTTAGAGGGTCAAAATGTCCCTGTGTAAAGCTCGTCTTCACAGTAAGGGCTCCCAAGATGCCAGCCTGACAAATAGAAGTAGCCAATACATATGCACCTATGTAAATATATGCAAATTCTTCCACCATTTTCTAACTGAGAAACCCAAAACTTTAATAACCATGTGATAATCAACTGTATTTTACACACTCTGCACATTTTTTTCCCCAGATACAGAACACCTATGAGCAGATAAACCCAGTATGCAAATAGACAATATGAAACAGATTCTGTCATCCAAAAAGAACGATAAAAAGAAGCCCAGGCTCATGTTTTGCAGTTAGTCTATAAAGACAGCAGAAAAATTCCTAGTTGCCAACATTGTTGCAACACTATTGCAAATTTCACTCTTTTTTAAGGTAGTTCTACCTCATGATAGATAAAGGCCACCTCCAGGCTGCCAAGACCTAAATCTTAAGCAAGATATGAAAGAAAAACCTACTTTTTTATGTGCCACTCAAAGTGCTCACACACTACTCTTGGTCACTGTTCACCTAGCCAAGGCCTCCATTCTAACCAGTGCTCCAGGCAAGATTCACTTCTGTTGTACATAGAGATACAAAGCAGTTCATTTAATCTCTGCTCAGGAGATTCAGGGACACCACTTATATAATGCATGGTAACAATTACAAAAATTATAAAGCTTTTGGGATGGTTTTGGAACAGCCAGGCACAAAAGTGTAGAAAACTCATGGGAGTTTGAGGGACTCCTCATTAGGGACTGTAGTGATAGGACAAGGGGTAATGGGTTAAAACTTAAACAGAGGAAGTTCAGATTGGATATAAGGAGCAAGTCCTTTACTGCAAGGGTGCTGAGGCACTGGAATGGGTGGCCCAAGGAAGTTGTGAATGCTCCATGCCTGGTGGTGTTCAAGGCCAGGTTGGACAGAGCCTTGGGTGATATAGTTTAGTGTGAGGTGTCCCTGCCCGTGGTAGGGGGGTTGGAACTTGATCATCTTAAGGTCCTTTCCAACCCTAACTATTCTATGATTCTGTGACAAATTGAATTTTTCATTAACAACTATAGAACTCATTGCTGGTACAAGTCATTAATGAAGATAATCCTAATCATTAATCTCAAAGACGAAACAGAGTTTGAAACTGAGGCCACAAAAATGAACAGACACCTTACAGACAAGTTGCTACATGTATTTTCCTCTTATTTTAAAAGTGTACACAAAAAAAAAAAGTGTGTATGCTTTGCAGGTATTTACTTCAAGATAGCATCTTTGCTGATGTGTTCCAAATTTACTTGGCATTTCTAGACTACGTACTTCTCACTTAAATTAGGCCTATAATGCTTACCAGAAAACTCATGCCACTGACATTTTGTACATATTTACAGTAATCACAAAGCAATCTTGTAAAACTTTTACAAAACAATCAACATTCTGAACATACTATGCTCAAAGCAAGAGTCTCATCTCTACCACTCAAGGATAGATGCCTTACCCAAATGTCATTCAGTTTCATGACTCCTTCAGCTTGAAAGCAATGAAAATGAAACATACGAACTTTGTAAATTAAGAAGCCTTCCAAATTAATGTAAAATTATAAAATCTAAATCTGTTTTTGTTGTACAATCATACTTAAACAGAGAATGAAATCTTTAAATTAGTCCATGTTTAAATACAACAAAGAACAGTAACAAAGCGTATATGGACCATTACTCACTATCAACCCAGTATTTTTAATCCAAACATCTCAGACCCTAGCATACTTTGACTGGGCAAAGGAGGGGGAGAGTTCTGTCTCTTGAGTGATTCAATTCAGATAACTGGTTAATTAAATGATGACAAATAGAGAAGTGGAAGCTAAGCTTTTAAAGGAATAAGGTCCATTTCTATGAAGAGGCTCTATTTAATACAGTAGCGCTATTATTATTACTACTACTACATTTGAAATTGTAAATGCTATGCAGTAGGTGTTCAGAAGAAGGGTTGCACCCTTGCATCTTCCCCAAAGCAATTTCTTTTTTAAAAAAATTATTACCAAATTTATCTTACGAAGTCACAGATAAAGTTTGAAAGGTCTTAGGACTAAACACAGTTAAACAGAGCTTCATAATTCAAGCAATCAAATTAACCAAGTAAATAACTCCTATCAAAAGGATGGCTAAATCCATCTCTTGAATAATACCTGATGTGCAAATATTTCAAACATATTCCCTATCAATATGAAACAATACACAATTGCAACCTGCTCTAGGTGGGGTTCGACTAGATGGTCTCCAGACATCACTGCCAACCCTAATGATTCTCTGATTCTGTAATCAGCAGAGTTCCCTTCTGTGGGAGGAAACGAACTTGCAAATATTTGCTACAACTTTACCAAGTCACCAACACACCCAACTGTATACACCTCAATACACCTCAAGCCTCTTTCTGGAAATGAACATTGGATGTTATTTGCTATGACCTGGCCATGAGCAACTTCCAAAGCCCATTATCGTTCCAATTTTTCGGTTTAAATGAAGCATCTCATAAATTCACTGCATTTCTGGTGTGCAGCTTCTCCAGGTGCCCCTAACATGCAGTGCACACTTTCACCCCCATATTTACAAAATCACAGACTGGTTTTGGTTGAAGAGACCTTAAAGCTCATCCAATTCCAACCCCCTGCCACTGGCAGGGACACCTTCCACTAGACCAGGCTGCTTATTCCTGATAAACTGCTAAACCTTCTTGGCAGCTCTCTGCACTTCACACTCTGAAACATTTGCATTGACTTGCCATTTTTAGACCCAAAATACGGGGTCTGTGTTGTTATGGGTTCTTTAACTGCAACTGTTTATCCTTCTAAAGTTGGGCTGGAAGGAAGCAGCTTTATGGGGACTCTACCATTTCTGAAGCACACGTTGACTATAGCGGCGCCCGCGCTCGTCTCCGTGGCAACGGCGCGGAGGCAGTGGCGCGGCGGCAGGCACCCGGAGGTCACCTGATCCGTGACCGCCGGTCACGTGATACGGGCTCCATCGTCGCCATCTTGAAGCTGTGGCCGGGGTAAGGGACAAGACCGCTTTTTACCGTCGTTACCCAGGTAAAAGCCCGGGCGGGCCCGCAGGACACCGGGGTGGGCAGCGGCTTGGCAGCCGGGCGGCAGGGAGGGTGCGAGGCTCGGCGGCGGGCAGGCCAGCCGGCCGGCCCCAGGGCGGTGCGCCGCGCCGCAGCCCATGTGCAGAGCCGCGGGCGGCTGCGGCTCCTGGCAGAGCCTTCCCCGGGCCAGGCGGCGCCGGCCGCGGCCGCCTGCCTTCCCTCCTCACCGCACTGCCTCCCCGGTGGGACAGATCCCCGCGATCGCTTCCCTTCGCTTCGCTCCTCACCGCACAGCATCGCCTCCTCTGCGGGCCCGCTCCCCGCGAGCGCTGCGCCTATCTCTCCCTGTGGCGCCGGGCCCGCTGCTTGAGGCGAGGTACAAAGCGGCGGCCGCGTGGGGGGTGGCGGCAGAGGCGGAGGCGTCACGCGGGAGCGTATCGCCGGTCCGCGATGAGTCCCGTCCCCGAGCCTCAGTCTTGGGGTAAGGGTTCTGCGGTCGGGGGCAGGCAGCTGGCCGCTCGGAGCTCCTGCTGATGAAGTTCCCGTGGCCTCGGGAGCCGCAACGTGACCAGACCCGCCTTTCCCAGTAAAGCGGTTGTGTAAAGTGGTGGTTGGCTTTTCCTAGACCTAGGGGCATCTCGCCCTGTTCCTGCCGTGCTACTTGAGTGGGTGGGTGGCAGGGGTGGAACGGACCCCTCCAGCACACAGGCGTTCTCCCCTAGTCTGGGCCTTCCCCTTTGGGCCCCTTCATTATCCCCAGACCCCGTATTTTAGTTACTGTGTAGTTCTGTAAAGGCTATGTGCTGGCAGATCCACTTCCCAGGCTGAAGTTTTCTGTCATGGGAGGCTGAATCATCTTTGTTCCTGGTGAAAGCAAGGTAGTTGCTAAAATCCAGATAACCTTTGTACAATTCTTGTCGTCCCTGTAAAAATGAAAGCCTGCAGCAATAAGTGTGAAGCTTACTGTAAACAAAGGATGACATAACACATATATACAATGTAGTTACCCATTTGATAACTACGTCTGCTACAGGCATTCCAGGTCAATACATCTGAGCGTACTCTGCTTTTGCAGTGTGCACAGGCACAAAAATCCGTTTTTGTCTATGCCCATGGCAGGGGGGTTTGAAACAGATGGTCTTTAAAGTCCCTTCCAAACCATTCTGTGATTCTACTCCGTCTGCATTTTTGACAGAGCAGTAGTGTATGTGGCAGCATATTTCTTTTATGATCTGTCTAGGATTTTTCCTCATAGTTTCTGTGCTGCTTTCAGATGAAAAAGGTAGAGGAAATATGTGCCTATTCAGCATTAGTTACAGAACTTTAAAACTACCAAGTACAATTGTAAGTAGCACCATGTGCTTAGAATTTTCCTTAAGTCATTCTCAAATTGAAAATATTTCAAGTAGACATTATTCCTTTGAGTGCTGCATGTAATGTTAAATCTGCTTTCAGGGGAAAAAAAACAGTTGTTTACTCTTCAGAATAGCTTTTAAACGTATTACAGCCAGTATGAAACAAACAGCAAAGTATTTTTGTGTAACTAAATAGGACAGTTTTCAAATAATGGCCTTAAACTTATTTTTAGTTAAAATATAGTTGGAGATACTGCAGGAAGGGATATAATTTTTCTTACCCACAAAGACGAGAGTTAGTCATTCAACATTCTGTGCCAAGCACATAATGGAAATAGGAGCAGACATGCACATTGAGATATCTGCTGGTTTATATTTTAAGAGTTAGATACTTGGATGTTTCAGTTTAACAGTAACTCTGTGGATACAGACATTGATTCCTATTAATAAAACAGTACTGAACTTGAATTAAATAAGCAGGCTATTTGGTATATTCTTGCATAAAATTATACTTTTTGGGTTTAAATTTTTTTTTTATTTTCTACCTCCTGCAATTGATCTGCTATCACAGTGCAGTATTGATCATTTTTAGTCTGCTTACACAGGTCCAGCTAAAGGTATAAGAGGTATAAGGTATAAGTAGCTTAGTTTTCTAGTTATCCAGCTGCCCTATGGTGCTATTTCTATTTTATTAATTTTTCATTTTTAATGCTGATCTTAGCCATTACCAAGTAAATAACTGTCAAACTAACACTGTAAAATAATAACTTCTTTAAAGATTCAGAATTGACAAATATCGCTGCATTTTAAACTTGAAATATTTTACATGAGTGTATGAGGTGTGAATGCTACTAACATTGGTTATAGTGGTACTTCTGATGATAACCTGAATTGTAAGTTGAATGGCAAAGGAAGGTAACATGAGTAGTTCTGCCAAGAATTTTTATGTAATGGGAAAAGGGCACCATAGAACCCACTCTCACGTGTCTGTTCATTACACTGCTACATCCAGAAGTCGGAAAAAGTGGATTTTATGGGTCTCTAGGATCAGTTCTGGAAGTTCTGGTTTGGCTTCTGTATCTCTCTTGGGGGAAAAAAAAAAAAAATCTGTATGAAAGAGCTTGAGATACATTTTCAAGGATGACTGATAAATATTTGTCATTCCTTTATGTTCTATATTTTATATACAGAATGTAAAAACATATGTTGTGTATAAGCTATGTGTGTATATATAGTGAAACTTGTCTAGGTTATTTTTAGACATTTTTTCAGAAGTAAATTTCACTGTAAGACTTTTTGTCCAGCTCCTGCACCCCTCACCCCACAGCTTTGCCCACATCACAAAGTATGTTTCATGGAAGTTTATCCATGTTGGTTTCTAATTTAACCTCCAGCAGTACCACATACTGCCTGTGGTTTATAGTTAGGTATTTTTAAAGGAAGTGTAAGTGGAAATAGCTATTTCCTGTAGCTTTCCCTCAAAACAGAAAAAAAAATTAGTCTTTGTAACATTCATGGCAATTGATTTTCCCTACAATTAAGGAATTGTAGAAAAAGCTAAAATTAGTAGCTTTTCTAGAAAATGACATTTATAATAAGAAGTATGATTTAACATTTGAATGATCTTTAATATAGTGAAATGACTAATACAAGCAATTACCAGAATTCCTTTCTTTTTCTAACATTTCAAGGAAAAATTGCTTATTTTTGTAAATTATGTTGTTGCAAATTGTCATTTGCTATAGGACACGTCAGTGCAAGTATGTTGGGAATACATTTTCATATCATCATGGCTTTTAAACATAAATATGCCAGTTACTATTGGTTGGTATATTTAAGCGTCTAGCATTCAAATGTGTAGTCTTTGTAAAGAAAAAGGCAATAGCTGTGACAGTACTAATCAGCCTAAACATGAAAAATATATATCTTGCCCCTGTACAACTTGGAGCCAGGCAGTTATAGGCTATCTTGGAATTACTCTGTCCAGCTGTATTGAACAGCATCCATGCTGTCCACTAAATGTTCTCAAAATCTTCGTCTGTATAGCCATTCTGAAAGTTTTTATAAAGGTAGTGGCATTAGGCTTCCATATTTAGTAGAGGATGAAATCTAAATAGTACTGGGTTGTATTTTTATTATTGTGCATGTATACATTTTAATTTTTTATAAACCACTTTCTTTTAGGTATTATGGAAGAAGGAAGCAGTGTTGCAGTATTGATGCCAAATATTGGGGAACAGGAAGCTGTGCTGATTTCTGAAGCAGTCATTGGCCCAACACTGCAGAACAGTGAAAATCAAAGAAAATGTAACACTGACCCACTAATCCATGTTATCCAGAAACTAAGCAAAATAGTTGAAAGTGAGAAGACACAAAGATGCCTTTTAATAGGGAAAAAACGTTCCCATACTAACGCTTCTGCGCAGTCCTTGGACGCAGATGATCTTTGTGAAATCCCAGCTAAAGCAATTGAGCTCTCTGTTTTCACAGCTAAAAAGACTGAAGAGCTACAAGCAGATTACTTTGTGACTGAATGTCTTCCACAAAGCAAAAAAAATGTGATGTGCTACCAATGTAGCCTGTGTAAGTTTCTATCACCCTCTCTCTTAACACTACAAGAACATATAAAACAACACGGGCAGAAAAATGAAGTGATATTCATGTGCTCAGAATGTCATTTTGCTTCCAAAAGCAAAGAAGATCTTGAATCCCACTTCCAAAGTTGCCATGAGAATGGTGGTAAAAATAACACCCAGACAAAAGTGCAGCAGTGTGTAAATGTCACAAGTTCATTTTTGAAAGGGACAGTGGAAGGAAGTGTCAAATCAGGGGCTGATCAAACAGGAAATCTGAAAGGTAAAGATACAACTCCATCTACTCAGAGGCCTGAAATGGGTAGGAGAAAATGGTATACTTACGAGCAGTATGGCATGTACCGGTGTTTAATTTGTCGGTATACATGTGGTCAGCAAAGAATGTTGAAAACACATGCTTGGAAACATGCGGGTGAGGTTGATTGCTCCTATCCTATCTTTGAGGAAGAAAATGAAACTACCAACTTGTCAGAGGTAGTTGTAACTCCCACACCTCACAGCATGGATGCAGTTGTTCTCTCCTTGGAAAATAATGAACTTGATATCCAGAGTGAACCTTCTCTTCAGCTTCAGATTTGCAATTCTGAGCAACTGTCATGTAAATCGCCAGTAGGAGCAAATGTAAAAGAGGAAGAGATGTTAAATCAGTCTGTAGTACATTCTCCTACTACAGAGGTTTTAGAGGAGACTGTGTCAGATACAGAACCAGATAGTATGATAACTGATAGTCTGCTTTCATCAGCACAGAAAATCATCAATTGTAGTCCAAATAAAAAGGGTCATGTTAATGTAATAGTGGAGCGTTTGCCAAGTGCTGAAGAAAGTATCTTACAGAAACCTTTCTTGATGAACACTGACATTGAAATAGAAAAAAAAATGATCTCAGAGGAGTCCCACATTGCCTGTGAAGAACCTGATGAAGTTTATCATTCAGATCCAATTCAAGAAGTAGTAATAGGATGGAATAATACCGAAAAGAAAGATAATGAATTAAGCTCTAATAAAACCATACCAGCTGATGAAAATGTGCCGCCTGCACGAAGAAGGACAAATTCAGAGTCTTTACGACTACACTCATTAGCTGCAGAAGCTCTTGTTACAATGCCTATCAGAGCTGCAGAACTAACAAGTTCTAGCTTCAGGACTCTGACTGGAGAAGATGCTGTGGATGCAGGTGCAGGACAGGGAGAAGCAGATGGCCCAGGCATGACTCATTCTAAAGTGGCATCCTCACTTCAAGATGATTCAGTGGAGTTTAGTGACTTTAGCCAAGGTGAATGTGCAATAGTTGAGATACAGAAAGAAAGGCCAGAGTTATCAGAAGCACCAACTAAAATGGGCATCAGTATGTCACTACTCACTGTCATTGAAAAATTGAAGGAGAGGACAGATCAGAATGCTTCTGATGATGACATTTTGAAAGAATTACAAGACAATGCACAATGCCAAAATGCAAATGAGGCAAATATTCCTGGCAGTAACCTCGTAGAATATATACCTAATGCAGATCGACCCTACCGCTGTCGCCTCTGTCATTATAGCAGTGGTAATAAAGGCTACATAAAACAACACTTGAGAGTCCATCGTCAGAGGCAGCCATATCAGTGTCCTATCTGTGAACATATTGCTGACAACAGTAAGGATTTAGAGAGCCACATGATCAACCACTGCAAAACAAGAATGTATCAGTGCAAGCAATGTGAAGAATCCTTTCATTATAAGGTAAAGTTCTTTCCTGTGACTGTCTGTAATAGCTAAATAACGTATTTTGCTACCTTTTTAATAACTTGTCATTCCTCTTTCTAACTTAATTCAGCCTGACTTGATTGTCATTGCAGTTGGGGATTATTGCCAGCAGCACTTTCCAAACGTACAGTTCAGCTATAATTATTCTGCCTTACCCACTGAAATAAACTTGCTTCCTCACATAAGTTACTTTCCTGAAAACCATCTTATGGACATATTAATATCGTTGTTTTTCTGCCCACACGTACCAACTGCTGGAGGAAATGTATCAGATAACTACAAGTTGAAACTTTAAAAGAATGCTCAAACACATCCACTAGTTTTGAGTGTGTGCAAAAGTAATCATGGCACTTGGGAGTAACATGAGACACTTTGAAGCAGAAATTCTTTTATTTTTTTCCTCTTTATTGGTCTGAATGTTCTGTAGAACTGGAAGGTTACAC